CGCTGCCCCTGGAGTTCACTGCTCCTATCCTCACCCCAGTGTCGGTTCCAGCCCCAGTGCCCGCTCCTCGTAAGCTCCTTCCAGAGCGCCTCCCAGTGCCCGCTCCTCGTAAGTGCCTTCCAGAGCGCCCTCAAGTGCCCGTTCCCCCAGAGCTCGCTCCAGTGTCGGCTCCAGCCCCAGAGCCCGCTCCAGTGTCGGCTCCAGCCCCAGAGACACCAAATACACAAAATAATGTTCTTTTTAGCAACATCATATATATATTTGTATATATGTATTTTTTATTTATTTTTTGGTAGAAACTATGGAAGCTTGTTTGTGTAAAAAAGGTAATTGCAACTTTTTATCACAATTTTGACTTTTTTTCTTGCAATTCTAAGAAAAAAGTCTGAATTGCAAGATGTAAATTTAGAATTGTAAAATATAAATTTGCAATTGCCTTTTTAATTTTTTTATTCCATGGCAGGGGGAAAAAACAGAATTGCAAGATATAATAATGATGAATAAGTACGAATTTTGAGAAAAATTCAGAATTCTAAGTTTGTCAGACTCTGTTCCATGTTTTGTCTGTGTCTTGCTCCCCAGGTGTTTATGTTAATTTCATCCCAGGTGTTTCCCATGTGTAATTTCCAATGATCCCAGGTGTGTCTCCTTAGTCCCTTGTTATCCTGTGTTTAAAAGTCCGAGTCCTTTTAGTTAGTGTTGTCCGGTATTGTTCATGTCTACTCCTCGTGCTACGTGTGATAACCCGCGATTTAAATAAACTCCTTGGTTTGTACTTCTGGTCTCCTGGTTTCCTCGTTCCGTGCTCCTCACAGTAGCAACCCGTGACAGAATACCGGACCCAAGACAGAAAATGAGGGGCGACCTTTTCCTCGCGTTTGTTTTTTCGCCTCGATCTCCCCTTCTACGAGTACGCCAGGGAGTTCTGTAAGCTCGCCGCGGTGACGGCGTAAGGTGTCTTCCGGTGTCTGGGTAGTGTCCGGTCCCGAGCCAGAACAAGCCCGCCGCCGTTCGCGGCTCCCCCAAGTCAGCCAGCAGTTCCCGAGTCAAGTTAGCCGTCAGTTAATGTGGCAAGCCCAAAGGACGTTAATGTGGCAAGCCCAAAGGACGTTAAGGTGGCAAGCCCAAAGGACGTTAAGGTGGCTAGCCCACCAAGTGTTCATGTGGGCCCAGTGTCGGTTCCAGCCCCAGTGCCCGCTCCTCGTAAGCTCCTTCCAGAGCGCCTCCCAGTGCCCGCTCCTCATAAGTGCCTTCCAGAGCTCGCTCCAGTGTCGGCTCCAGCCCCAGAGCTCGCTCCAGTGTGCCCGCCGGCCACTGGTCTCTCAGCATTGCTGGACATGGCGCTGCCCCTGGAGTTCACTGCTCCTATCCTCACCCCAGTGTCGGTTCCAGCCCCAGTGCCCGCTCCTCGTAAGCTCCTTCCAGAGCGCCTCCCAGTGCCCGCTCCTCATAAGTGCCTTCCAGAGCTCGCTCCAGTGTCGGCTCCAGCCCCAGAGCTCGCTCCAGTGTGCCCGCCGGCCACTGGTCTCTCAGCATTGCTGGACATGGCGCTGCCCCTCCCATGCTCCGCCTTGGCCTCCCGAGTCCCCTGCTCCACCATGGCGCCCCGCCATGGCGCTCTGGAGGGACCTCCAGAGCGCCCACCTCCCCCTCCCCGTTGGATGTTATATGGCGTGAGGACACGCCTTCCGGAGGGGGGCATTATGTCAGACTCTGTTCCATGTTTTGTCTGTGTCTTGCTCCCCAGTGATCCCCAGTTAGACCAGGAAGGGCTCCTGTTCCTGAGTTAAGCCCACGGAGGGCTCCTGATCCCGAGTTAAGCCCACGGATGGCTCCTGATCCCGAGTATAGCCCACTGAGGGCTCCTGATCCCGAGTATAGCCCACGGAGGGCTCCTGATCCCCCCCAGGTGTTTGTTAATTTCATCCCAGGTGTTTCCCATATGTAATTTCCAATGATCCCAGGTGTGTCTCCTTAGTCCCTTGTTATCCTGTGTTTAAAAGTCAGAGTCCTTTTAGTTAGTGTTGTCCGGTATTGTTCATGTCTACTCCTCGTGCTACGTGTGATTCCCCGCGATTTAAATAAACTCCTTGGTTTGTACTCCTGGTCTCCTGCTTTCCTCGTTCCGTGCTCCTCACAGTAGCAACCCGTGACAAAGTTTATATCTCACTATTCTTACTTTTTATCTTAGAATTGTGCGAAAAAGTCTGAATCGTGAGATAAAAAGTAGGGTAAAAAATGTTCTATACCATTGCAGAAACCAGCTTCCATTTCAAAAACTGATCTTAGTTTGATATTTCCTTTATTACTAACATGTATACATGACTGTATTCATACACACGCAAGCCAATGATGTGAAACTCATTTTGATTTCTATTTATTAAAAAATACATTCCATGATGAGCATGCTGTTTATTCAGCATAATGAGCATACTTTTTATTCCGTTTTACATTCAGTGTATTTTACTTTGGTGTGAAAGAATGCAGATTTTCAAGAACTGTTAATGGAACCAGACATCATGACAATCATTTGGTTACAGCGTTTTTTATTTATTGATTGATTTATTTTATTTAATTTTCATGTTGATGGATAAGCTGTTTCTTTAGACCCTGAGATTTGGCATTATGGGATGATAGATCAGTCTGTATATGATATCAGAGGTTGTTTTTGAACTGTCACATCCAGATTCTGACACATTAATAGTGCATCATATACAAATCTTATGTTTTCAAAGGGGAATTCAATTGCTGATGCCAATATGATAATTTATTATCCCCCCTTTCAGTTTGATTTAGTTTTTGCTTTGAGTCACCACTCTGACTTGGGCAAAAACATGTTTTGAATCAGATCCCCATATTAGTTTAAAATAGGAATGGAAAATAGTGTTTCGATAAGCTAACAGCCACAGCCAGACACACACCCATTGTGCAAGACGTAATGTAGTCCCTGTTGTGTACGTTTATAGAAACTTCCTTTCATGGAATTCATCATGCTGTCATCTTACTCTATTTCTGGACCTTTCTTAATATTTTTAAAATATCGTTTATTACACTACATGTCCTATAATTCTTCCAATAATTTTTTTTCCAGTTTTCTTGTACTTTGTAAGCCATTCATGAACTGTTTGTTTAAAAATATGTTATTTTTCTCAAATGTACCATGTTAAATAAAATACTTTGAGGTACCTGTTAGTCATTCAGTACGATCACTGCACCATTTTACCATAGTACTTTTTTGAAAAGGGTTACATAATTATATTAAAAAAAAAAAAAAAGTATAAATTATAAGCTATTATAAAGTGTAAATTATTAAAACTTTAAAATGTTTAGGAATACTGTATGTTATTGATTATAGCAATCAGTAAGTGATTAACATTACACAATATAATTTATATTATTTAATGCTTAACAGCTTATTATTCAATGCGAATTCATATTGTTAAAAATTAAACTTGAATGAAACTACTTATTTTTATACACTACTGTTCAAAAGTTTGGGGTCGGCTAAATTTAAAAAATGTGCTTGAAAGAAGTCTCTTATGCTCACCAAGGCTGCATTTTTTAAAATAAAAAATACAGTAAATATTGTGAAATATTATTCAAATTTTAAATATCTGTTTTCTGTTTTAATATATTTTAAAATGTAATTTATTCCTGTGATGGCAAAGCTAAATTTTCAACAGCCATTACTCCAGTCTTCAGTGTCACACCTGTCACACACATTTTACCTCTCGTGTGCAGGTCCAGGCTCACGGGGCGCTGCAGTATCTGGTGTCTCTGTTAGCAAGTATGGAGCACAGTGCCCATCACACACTACTGCTGGAAATCCGCTGCCTGACCGATCGCTACACCTCCATCCTGGGCGGCGGAGTAAAAGACATCTACCGCATGAGCAACAGTTTCACCGCCATTGCGCGACTTTTGGGACGCAAGCTGGAGGCTGAGAGTACATTTAGCAGGTAGTCACACACACAGACATTTTGAAAGTGAAAGTGACGTGACATGTAGCCAAGTATGGTGTCCCATATTCAGAATTTGTGCACCCGGAACAGTGCCGGGGAGCAGTTGGGGGTTTAGTGCCTTGCTCGAGGGTCTCGTGGTATTGAGGGTAGAAAAGAGCGCTGGTCATTCACTCCCCCCACCTACAATCCCTACTTGTACCGAGACTCGAACCCGCGACCTTTGGGTAACAAATCTGACTCTCTAACCATGAGGCCATGACTGCCCCAGTTAATTTTCCACTTGCTTCAATTTCCTGAATAGCCTTGACATGTTCCAGTATTAGTTTTTGAAACCACACAGGTGATTAGTTTTATTGAAGTAATTGACATTTTATTATGATGGAATAACTTCTGTTAAAAAGCTCCCTAATCTACAGGGCTTTGTCTGAATGTCAGCATTAACCATTGCAAAATTCTTCAGCTAATCAGTGTTTTGGCAGTTTCATTGCTAAAAGTCTGATGAGGTAATGATGTACTCCAGATATAAATATTTTGTTCACTTCTCTGTTTCTAAGACTTGAATTTGTTCTCTCTTGAGGAAAACAGGTTGCATAGGAAAGCTGACAAATAGAGAGAAATCTACAGAAATGTAATAGAAGGGACATGATAGAACTGTTAGTTTTCTACTTTTGCTTTTATTTCTCCCTTTGTTCTCACTCATTTTCTTTTCCAAAATTACTCTCAAAAATGACAGTTATGTTTATTTCAACTATATAGAAATTGTTTTTATGTTTAGAATAAACCATTATTATTACATGGCTTTCTGGAATACTTGATTCTGAATACTTGATTCAATGACGAATCAATCAAAAACGATTAAAAAACACAATTATTTAAACAAAATAGCATCAAATGTGAAGTGTCAGATTGTGTTAATTTTGTCAGACATTTTTTATTTAGTCTTAGTCCTGGTGTCAAATGTACTTTTGAGCTATTATCATATTTAGTCAACCTTCTCCTGTTTTTGTTTAGTCAAGATTTAGTCAACTAAATGTCTGAGCATGTTAGTCTAGTTTTAGTCAATGAACCATTTTCGTCACATTTTCGTCATGCTGTATAATAGTTAAACTGATAAATATTGTTGTCATTTGAGAAACTTATTTTTACATTTTAGGTATTGCACATTCACCAATAAGCACCAATCAATAGAAAGTGGACTCATACACAAGGTTTATTTTACCTCATCTAGTGTACTGATTTATCATAGGCTATTTAATATATAAATGAATATCTAATACTTAGATATGCACTCTCTCTGTCTACATTATGAGTTATTGTTGTCTCATCATCGTCTCGTCTTAGTCATGGGAAAAAAGCTTGTTAACGAACATTGTTCATTATACTTTTTGTTAACTAAATTAACACTGGTGTCAGACAGGGAATTATGGGAGTTTGACTTGCTCTTTCTTTCACAAATTGTTCATTTAACATTATTTTACTGCAAAATTACATGAAATGTCCTGTTAGATATTACAAATTTTCACTATATATACAGACAATACAAGCAACGCCAGTGACGCAATGCAATGGACCCACAATTCAATTCGGCAACGCATGACATCACCCATTCAAAGTAAATGAGCAGCGTTAATGCCGACGCCCCATGTGAATGCACCATTAGAGATTGGTGTAGGGTTAGTTGCTTGTAATTAAGCATAATTGTGTAATTATGCATAACTGTTGTTACTATAGTAAGTACAGTGCATGTAAGATGTGTAACAAGGTTGCTGTCAAATGAAGTGTTACCTTTAATGCTATTTCAAATATTGTTTTTAAAAAGTATACAGTATTCAGTACATACTGTTCAGTATACACTAGTGCAGTTGTATTGCATTCTGAACTTGCCCTTTATCTTTGTTCATCAGAGAGGAGGAGAAGGTGCAGGATTTGTCCAGGCCATGTGAAGCCGAGTCTAGTTCGGACATGTTTGCTGAGAACCTGCGTCTGCAGGTGAAGATTCAGGCTTTCGAGCAGAAGATGGGCAATGAGGTGGAGGAGTTTGAGGAAAAAATTAACAAAAATGTTACTGAGCAACTGACGAGGAACAAGTTCAGCGCAGATTTTCCTTTGAACCCTGGCGCCGCGAGCTCGTGCAGCGCTGTCAGAATACATGCAATTCGTGCGTGCATTAGAAAATATAACATTCTGCAGTTTATTTACTAATCGTTTGAGGTAATTTCGCGATTTCAATCATCATACAGTAACCTAACCACCAGCATCAGCCACCTCTTCTTCTCATCGGAGACGTGATGCAGCACTAAACAGTCTCTCGCTGTCTCTTTCTCTTTCTCTGATAGTTTTAAATACTTTCACACTGCCGACATGTTTGCTGCATTTGTGCGTGCCTCTATTTGTTCGCGTTAGTCATTGTTCGGTACATATTATTCGGCCTTTTCGCTTATTCGGCGAAATATAATATCGGTTGCCGAATATTCGGTGCATCCCTAATGAATGGTAAAGGTTTTTAAATAGCATTTGTCATTCTTTATTACATTTGCTCTGTATGTACGTATGGTATTAATTTTAGTCATGCATGTCTTAGTTTTAAATTTAATTTTGCTAAATACCACACTGCAAAAATACGTTCTACATTTTCTAGTAGAGTATGCCACTTTTTAATAACTCACAGCCTAAAATAAATGAACTGACTCTGAGATTTTGAATTTTGACGTGTGCTCTTCTCTCATGTTCAGGTCAAAGAGTCTGGCTCTTCACGCTGTACGCACACGATCCATTAACTCTGACAGCAGTCCAGAGGGAGAAGGGCTGGATCTGAGCACAGAACTCGGTGTCTGTGAGGCCAGTCCCAGCCCAGAGACCCGTCCTGCCCTCACGACCCTGCAGGAGAACCACAAACTCACAGAGACTCAGCCTGACACATCTCCAAACAGTGAGGGCCAAAAGGTGGTGGTTGGAGACCCCCGGGAGGGGGATAGGCTCTGGATCCACCTAAGAGACAACATGGAAGAAATCAAAACCTTCTGTGCGGAAATGATCAAACAAATCCCCATACCTGAGCACTGTGTCATTGAAGGTAACCTATCAAATCTAAGAGCAATCCACACAGCAACACATTAAAAAGTACCTTGCATTTATGAGTAGCGCAGAAGGAGAACTCGCTTCTACAAGTTTTACCACACTCTCATCCAGAAATTACTTTGGACATGGGAATTAATTTGAACATGAAAGTGTTTATACAAGACTGAATTTCAGGTCAGCTTCTAGTTCAGTTTTTTGTTGTTGTTTTAGCAACATGAGGAGAACATTTTCCTGGCATATTTTGAAGGATGTTAGAAATGTAATCACACCAGTTACATATTGGGATGCCATGCCAAGTTATCTACAGAGTTCCTATGCAGTTTTGGGAGAGTATGGAATTTGATTTGAGTAATTTCCTGGTCTGGAAAACTATGGAAAAAAGAAAGCAGAATATGGAAAAATATTTCCAGCATTTCCAGACTTTTGCCCCTATTTAGTTTTCTATAAAAGAAATTTAAGAGTTTAATGAAAATAAATTTATCGTACAAGAAGTGTTTTTTTCATGTCAGCTGTTTAATGATTCTTTAGTGATTGTCAAACACGACTGAATGAATTCAAGGTGCACTTTTTCATTAAGTAAAAATGCAGGTTATATTTTGGGTTTCTTCTCACAATAGCATCAAATTACAGAGCCTCTAAAGGATCTTTGCAAAAATAAGAAAGGTAACACTTTATTTTAAGGTGTCCTTGTTACACATGTTACATGTACTTACTATTATAATAACAATTAATTATGCATAATTACATGCAAGTAACCAAACCCTAATCCTAACCATGTACATGTAGTTAATTAATATTACTCAGTACTTAAATGCATAATTACACTGTAACAATGACACATGACACTAAAGTGTAACCGAATATTGTATATTCTTGGTATAACTTAATTACAGTATAATGTCGAGTATTGTACTGTGCAGCAGTAGGAAAGCGTTTTAATGTGTTTAAAGTGCTGTGGTTGTCAGATAAGCTTTAAACTCCTTTATTCTCGGAGAGGCTGGCAGTGTCATGTTTCACACTTTTTTTACAGTACCAGTCTTTTTTATAGACCCTTGAACTTGGCAAATAGGACAATGCACACAACCGTATTGTGCCATCAGCCCATTTTGTGTCATTGTTTTTCTGCCGCCACAGAAGATGCATTAAATTGGACATTAGGCATTGATATTAGAGGTACTACCCTAAGGAAAGCCAAATTTTGAGCAAATAGATCTGTGTTAATTCATGTGCATCCATGCTCTCATTTTCTTCATAGTAAGATGGCAGATGGCAAGTTATAGTATATATAAAACTAGAAATTGTAATGCATAAAAAGTTCCCTATGTTGTCACTTTGAGAAAATCAATGAATAAACCCTTGAGAAAATAACAATATTTACAGATGACTGTACCATATACCAAATATAAAGCTGAAAATAATGCTCCTGTGAACCATTTATGTTAAATATGGTCTGAAAATCTACTGAAAGGTTTGGAAATTTGAGTCTGGAAAAGTGTGGAATTTTGATAAGGTAAATGTGTAGATACCCTTTCATTAGATTGCAGAGTTTAGCACATTACATTTTTTTTTTTTTTTTTGTATATTATATTTAGATTGACAAAATTGTACTTGCTGTTTTTCATTAAATTGCTTGACAGGAGCTATTGCATTGTTTAAATCACCAGGCAAAACATGATTTTAGTTATAATATTAATTATAATATTACCCGTCACATTGCTTATTGACATTTTCTATAGGGAAAGTGGTGCTTGCCCCAGAAAAACTCCAGAATAGTTGAGCAATATCACAACAAGAGTGCCATTTTTTTCCTGAATATATGTGACCCTGGACCACAAAACCAGTCTTAAGTCGCTGGGGTATATTTGTAGCAATAGCCAAAAAAACATTGTATGGGTCAAAATTATCGATTTTTCTTTTATGCCAAAAATCATTAGGATATTAAGTAAAGATCATGTTCCATGAAGATATTTTGTACATTTCCTTCCGTAAATATATCAAAACTTAATTTTTGATTAGTAATATGCATTGCTAAGAACTTGATTTGGACAACTTTAAAGGCGATTTTCTCAGTATTTCGATTTTTTGCATCATCAGATTCCAGATTTTCAAATAGTTGTATCTCGGCCAAATATTGTCCTATCCTAACAAACCATACATCAATGGAACTCTTATTAAGCTTATTAGCTTTCAGATAATGTATAAATCTCAATTTCAAAAAATTGACCCTTATGACTGGTTTTGTTGTCCAGGGTCACATATACTTGAGATAATGAGGAGTGCACAGCTGAACCAAACTAACTAATGATCGTAACCATGGTAACTAAAGAGTGGCAGGAAATCAAACAAAGAAAGGCATGAACTGAAGAAATACAAACTAAAAGTCCTTGGACTGAACTAACCTGAACATAATGGTGACAATTATACAGTTCAAGAAACAAGTTAATATTAAGTGAGTTACATTTTGGACACAGTATTATCTGTTTTTGCTGTATTTGGCCAACGAAAATAGTTCCGAACAAAGTCATGGCAGAACTTTTGCATATCTTAAAGCAACAGTGTTTCACTATTGCATGAATCTGTGCTCTTGAACAAATCATTTTAGTGAATGATTCATTTACCTAGTCATAAGACAGTGACTTGATTTGTTTCTGAATGCTCCAGCTGTTTGAACTAATTGGTTGAATGAATGACTCAGTGACTCGCAACCACCCACTAAAAGTATCATTTAATTTTTTCAAATTAATTTGATAACATCCCCTAATTTCTGTCACTGCTGTGAACCACCACGCAGAATATGAAAAGATTCAGGAGTCAGCTGTCCTGACTCTGAACCCTCCTTCTCAAGTCTATTGAAATTTTCACTTGTTGTATTGCCCATCAGGCATCTATAAGTCCAGTTGCTTAGTAAAATAATAGTACACCTCTTATCAAAAAGTTGCATGATTTGAAGTATCATTCACGTCAATAGTGAAAAGTGCAGGATGAGTTACTTGTTTAAGTTAAATTCATAAAATGAAGGTTTTGTTCAAATCTGTAAGTATGAACAATAGTTAGAGGGATACCTGCCTTTTCAAACACCACTAATTATCATCTATCAGTGCACAGCTGTGGGTGGCAGACAGATTGAGGTGCAGCTTGGCTCTGGTATCCAGATGCCAAGCTAATTTAGTCATATCCCCTGCGCTGGCCTGGGTCTCTGCCTCCCCTTCACATTATTCAACAGCTCTCCCACTGATAAACTGTAAGGTAATCGATCAGTCGGCGACCTGGTGAACTGGCAGAATACATGTGAGTGCATTTATGTTTGTGTCAATGTGAGGGATTCAATGCAGTCATACTCACCACATCATGGAGGATCAGCTAATGTCATAGTCAGTGGTAAAGCTGTCAGAAAGGATTTTGTGAAAGATTTGTTGAATGGTGTCCAATTATTGGCAGACTTCACAAGCAGAGAGCAGATCTTTGGTCTTCTGCTCTAGTCCTTTATGATATATTTTTAGCATTTAGTCTATCCCTTTTGAAGCGCACAACTAGAGTGAGCAAATAGCATGCGAGTGTGGCTGTGAAAAGGCATTTCATTGGCTGGAACCACTGAACAAACATGCCTCTTCACTACGTCAGAAAGTGTTTGGAGTCTGTTAGGCAGAAGAAGTAGCTCATTTATGAATATGCAAAAAGACATAAAGATGTTATTGAAATTCATAATTTTTTTGTATAGTTTGACAAGTCATGCAATGAGCAGTCAACAAAAAGGACAAAATGCATCTGCTTTATTGTGGATAAAATGTTTATAATGTTTAAACACTATTTTTAGAGTCTCTTCTGGGATGTGTAGGCATGTACATTTTAAAAAGACTTGAACAAACCTGTTGAGTAAGTAATTCAATGACTTGCTCATAAGAATACATTCACTGGTTGCCACCTGCTGGTATGTTGATGTTACTTACAGAAAGAGTCACTGAACAAGTCAGTAAACTAATCTGACTGAACCTTTTTAATGAACAAAGTCAAAAGATTTGAGTGAAAGATGAAACAAGCATCAACACCATTAATTCCAAAGTATAATTCGCTTGTCCATATTCTACTCTGTCTTGCAGAAGCTGGTCTTTTCCATCTTTCCTGTTCCATGAACTCATTTTCTTTTACAAGAATACACTCATTTATTTGCAGCCCATCAGGATTTAGTTATTCCAAGAGGCCCAACTGTTGTTTCTCTCTTCTTCTTTTTCTTTTTTCTTTTTACACTGATTTCATTAAACAGTTGATGCATAATCCACATGTCATTGAGTAAAATAATAATAATAATAAAAAAAGAAAACTAAAGCATAATTATGCTCCAAGTGTTGTTTCATAAACACATATGGAGAGTCGAGGGACATTCAGGACGATGCTACACTGGCAGGGTTGCATATACAAACCGCAACATGATACTAACTTCACTCTTCTTCTCCCTTACTCATATAGTGTCAATGAAGGCCAAAGAGAATGGATGATTAATGATGTTTATAGAGAGGCTGATATTAAGTGATTTGTATAATCAATAGACAGAACAAAACGACACAGTTATGAGTAGCGGTTTACCGATATAGGCTTCACAATGGCAGATGGCAATGCTAGTATCTACAGTGCCGGGTGAGATAGTCTCAAATAGCACAACCAAATAAATAATTACAATAAACCTCCCAACCATGTGACCAACGTAAAATGACCAAACGCAGTAGATAGGTAGTCATCAGTCCTTGGCGTGCCGTCTGAGGCTTAGACTAGGTGGACTGGGCCAATATAATGCCAGTATATATGTGGAACAATTTAATGATAGCAAATGAGACAAAGAATACTTATTTTCACAATATTTAATCATATTTTACTAAGGCTGTTTTGACACCAGACTTGTTTGGACCGTCTGTTTAGTAACCTGTTGCATTTTTTCCCTTAGTTTGGTTCATTGTGGCATACATGAACATGGCAATCAGCCCGAGATCGACTAAACGTAACATTGTTTCAGAACAAAGCAAATTATCTACAGGTCTAAAAATGCCCTAAAACGTTATGAGTGTCTGGTTTTCCTGATAAATACTCAGTTGTTGTTTTCTTCTGCTGTGGTTTGGAGTCTGACTACACTATTGTATTACAAGATGGTGCAGTTTAGCTGCTGGGAGTTTATTTTAGGATATTTTGTGGTTTTGGGAAATCGGTTCCATTTCTGGCAAAGGAATTCATAAGCAATTCATGGTCCTGTGTATATGTGTGTTTGTGCTCCAGACTCACATCGTGGCTGTGTAGCTAAGCTGTCATTCTCCTGTCCACTGAAAGGACACTACTGCCTCTACGGGAAGTCCTGTTTCTCGCTGTGTAGCCACCAGCCACACCTCTGGATCCAAATCATGCTACTGGCACTGCAGGTAACAATCGGACACGTTTTTGTGCCACAAGATGTGTGGCTGCGTCTGTGTTTGCACATGCTTAGCTATACTTGTGAGGGCCAAATGTCCTCATTTATGTAATAAAATATCATGACAGCCAACTAGTAAGGACAGGCATTTAATTCGTCTGAATTTTGTTTATATATTCAAATCTAGTGATTAGTGATGGGAGAAAGGAACCATTTCAAAGCTTCAAATCAATAAAGGCTTTATTTTCCATGCTGCTATGTTTACATTGCAGAGTTTGGGGAATGACATCTGTATTCAAATCATGATTGAATCAGAAATTGTGATGATTGACATAGACGCCATAACAACGGACGGGACTAAATAGCCCTGTGCATTAAGTCTCAGAGTGTAAATACATACTAAAAGCTCTCTCACTTGATCTATTATGTGTAATGTGTTGCTTTGTTCTTTATTTTATTATTTGGGCTTTGTGGTTAATCTTATCTTACCACGAGCAGCAGTCAGTGTGATGCTTGCCTTAGCAAACACCACTAATTAGGAGTAGCGTGTATCTTGGCAAGCTAGCAGTGTATCATGTCTGTGTGCAGAGTAAAGTGAGCGAGGCGTTGTGCTGTCAGGATGAGTGTGTTAAGCAGCTGAGGAAACTTTGGGAGAAAACACAGCTGACGGGAGCTCACAGCTTTGAACTGGCCATGACCCAGGCAACTGTTCCTCACAAGAAGGTAAAGTCCTCAACCGTTTCTCTTGTGCTCTTCCTCTTTTATTCTCTCTCCATCTATCTGTCACTAACACACACACATACTTTATGAACCAACACGCATCCACTCACTCAGCACTTCTCTTCACTTGAGAAATGACACTGGATTTGGCTTCACAAGCCAGTCCATATGATTTTGAGTCAAACTTGATGTTTGAAGGGATTGTTCACTCCTAAAAAGGACAAAGGCACAATTCATGTGCTATATTTTAAGTTTTCTGAAGCTATGCAATTGCAGTCATGCCAAACGTCATCAGTTATTGTATGTAACATGACATTGTAAACCGTAAATTAACAATCTCATAATGCTTTATCGCATGCAATAGCAGGGGTGTTAATACTTTTTCCCATGCAATTGTGTTGGCAATGGCCATTTATTGACAAGCCTTAGTTTTCTCAATGAAAGCTGAACACAAGTGCTCACACGACCAGGTGGAAACAGTACGTGCATCTAGGCTGACCACTTTGGATCGAATCGCTGAAAATGCATCTTAATTACTAACCATATATTGTGATTAATTCTTTATCACGATTAATTTTTCATATCCACAGTGCATAAATCCCCAGCTCTAAGCTAGATTAAATAAGTAGGAAAAATCAGTCATCCTCCCCCTTCCTCGCTGCGGGGACATTATGAGGAAGAAGTGGCCCAGCAGGATAGGTAATGTATGATCCTGATCAAGGATTACAATTATGCCTTTGAGGAGAAGGTATGGGTTATCACAGTGGAAACTATTTATGCATGTGTTAAAGGAACACTCTACTATTTTTGAAAATAGGCTAATTTTCCAACTCCCCTAGAGTTAAACAGTGGAGTTTTACCATTTTCGAATCCATTCAGCCGATCTCCGGGTCTGGCGGTAGCACTTTTGATGAAAATGAGCCTATTTTCAAAAATAGTGGAGTGTTCCTTTAACAGCAATCTTGTCGTACAAGTCAAACTTCTCTGTGGAGATCAATAAAGAAAGACCTACACTAAAGTACACTCTTAAAAATAAAGGTTTTTATTGGCATTTATGGTTCCATGAATAACTTTTAACATTCATGGAACCTTTTCATTGCACAAAAGGTACATTAGATAATTAAAATGTTCTTCACACTAAGAAAAAAATGGTCCTTTTAAGAACTGTTTTCTGAAAGGTTTTTTGAAGAAGCCAAAAAAATAGTTCTTCTATGGCATTACTGCAAAAACACTAGTTTGCAAACTGTATTTTTAACAATGTAGATATTTAACATCGCAGAGCCCAATATATGCCCTCCGTTACAGCCACATCCATAGTGGAAAACAGCCATGTCATGGAAACTGTGACGGGTCAGAGGTCATGCTGAGACGGGGTTGTTTACATTAGGTCATTTCCTCTTTATGGTGCCATGTGAATCCAAGTGCTCGGATGATCTTATCAAACATTGTAAATGTCAACTCTGGAATAATTACGTAGTACAGCTGGTGTCTTTTGTGTCTTTATGCTGTCTTCCTTTTCTTCCTGCCATTTCTAAATCTGAGGTCATTTATCCTCCAGTGAAGAACTTTGTGCGCACATAACACATATGGTATCTGTTTATGTTGGGCACATGTGCACATGCAAAAATACGAGGCAGGACTCTAGCAAACCCATCTTGAATGCACTCGTAAACATCCCCCAAATGATGCCCTAACCCCTGACATTTCCTTTGATTTGCTGTCTGGCCTACGTTTAAAGAGACAGCTTTTGCCAGCATTGAAAAGTTCATATCATAAAAAACTGGATTTTTTTTCTTGCTCTTTTAAAATGAGTTTGTAGACATACTGTAGACATATGCAACCCCATATAGTGAGACAAATGTCCATGTATTGGGGCATTGCAAAAGGTGTCTTTTTTTCTTGGCTAGTAACGATGGAAATGTTTTTTTTTTTTTTTTTTTTTTTTTGGTTAAGACTTTAAGGTTTGAGTCTATACAGAGTTTGACTTTAGGGGAAACATTTGAAACTAGCCCCTCATTTATACAAGTTAAAAATAAAAGAAGATTTAAAGAAAATCGCAAACTGGCTATAATGTAACAGTCAGTTTTGATGCATCTCAATATGTAAAGACAGAATTACATTATACTACATTGTGAAAAAAAAAATCTGTGAAATTAACAGTAAAAAAGAGCAGTTGATATTACAAATATAGTTTTAAAAATATAGTAGCAAAATGTTTAGCTTTATGGATTGAGCACAAATATTTTATTAACTCACATAATGTTAATATTACAAAGTACTAAAAAATAAGAAGAAACATAATTATCAAAAACCATCAAACGTGAAGTGTCACATAGGGAATCCGGGAATGTCAATTTACGTTTTTTCATTGCTAATTATAAGATGGCATGTTCTTTTTCACTTTGAAAATCTGCATATTTTAGTCAGTTAGCTCTGTATACAGTTAGGGATCTTACTGTTAATCAAATTAGCAGTTTTTTTACTGTAGCATTGTACTTTAACAGTGTGCATTGTATTCCACAGTGTTTGAACAAGGTTGGAATTTGAATGGAATTGATTTGATAATTTTTACAAAACTGTACAAGAGAATAAAAAACCCCATCCCATTCATATAAGAAAAAAACTGTCAAGGATAAACAAACACAATAAAGCCTGTAGCTTAAATTCCTTGAAGCTTTCCAAGCTTTAAAAAAAAAATACACATTTCTGGCATGTACTGTAGACAGGCCATGGGTGTACATTTTTAATTTTAATGAATGAATCATTTGTAAATTATGTTAAAATGCCTGGACTACTCACGCAGTCCAGTGTTCAGTCATGTCCAACTCGAAATGAGCCAAGAACCAGGAAGTAATATGATCATGTTTGAGTTTGAGTGCTAACTGTACTGTTCATAATGAGGAAAGTTCCCCAAATACACAACAGAATCATTTGTTTTATCAGTTTGTTTCCATTCTTTAAGGTCAGTGTGACACCAAGAATTCGAGTCTGCTAGTGTAACGCCAGCTTTAATAGGTGGGAGGACTGGTCACAAAAATCATGTTTAAACCCGTTTTAGTGGATCAGAGTGGACAGTGGAAATTAGATTAAATGCTAGAAGGCACCGGGTCATATGCCACACAGGCTTTAGAAAGAGAGTTAAACTCGCCAGCAATATGCCTTTGCAACTATTAGATTTTTTTCTCTCTACTTAGAAAAAAAAAAATTAAGTAGACAAAAATAAAATTGCAGGAGGTCTTAGAGGAATTTTCACCACACAGCATCTTGAAGGCATTATAAGTGTGTCACTTTGCTAATGATAGATCACACTGAAATAATAGTAAATAATGGAAATTGTTTAGAGAATATAGAAAAGCCCCTTTGCCTCACATCACTGTGTTTTACTGACTGGTGGATGGGATCCTATTACCATCCCTGTGTGAGTGTATATGTGCATGTGTTGTGTGTGTTAGGCAGACTGAGGCTCTATAAAAGGCTCTATAAAAGTACACTGGGAAGAATGTTGCAATAGTATCCATTACAAACAAAGACCTCTATTACTTTTCTGGTTTCCACAGGATAATGATGACATGTTAGCTAGCATGTTGTAGGCCCCATGGTTTTGGCTGTCCTCCCCTGACACTTTTGCACATCTGGGGCTTAGCGTTTTCGGCGCACATGTTCACTGGGGTTTTGAGAGTCAAGGTTGGTGTTGACATACTAGAATAGCGTAGTCCCATTGTTCAGCTCTGTTTCCCAACACTGGAAGTCTGCCGGTCCGGATTGCCCAACATTTTGGATTAGAATAAAAAAGTGAAAATGAACTTCCAGGCATGTCAAACACTGTCGGGGACCTCTCTGTTAATTATCCAACCACCCTCAATCTGTTATATTTCTCTGTGATTCACTGGACTGACTCATCATTTCCTGTGTGTCACTCAAGTCATCTTGAGTCATCAGTTTACAGATTGAGTTTGTGAATGATTACGTGACTTCTTAATAGTTCAAATTTTGTATTAGTTAAAGGCATGTCATTAAACTAATTTTTTGATCCATTCTTGTGTTATGAATGACTGAACAAAGAGTTCTGTTCCTTCATTGAAAGTCCATTCCACCAAAACTGTGATGCTAAAAAGTTCATAAAATATTGTAAAAGAAATCCATATTAATCAAGCAGTTTAAAGGGGTCATATGACGTTGCTAAAAAGAACATTATGTTGTGTATTTGCGGAGGCCGGTGGGCTTGAGTGAGGAACGGCCGGTGGGCTTGAGAACGGCACGGCACGGCCGGCGGGCTTGCAGCAACCACATGTGACGACCTCTGGCTGGACTCCGCTTCGTCCACGGTGAAAGCCGATTCAGCGATCCACAGCGCGAAGTTGATGTATTTCCTCAGCGACCAGCACGGATCAGCTCTAGGCATGACGAAGCGGATATCGTCCTCTTTTGGAAGGCCAAACAAAGTAGTTTCGCTTTCACAACGAAACACACAGCGTCTCCACGACATGGCGGCGGCGGCAACAACAATACTACAGCGAGAATAAAAGTTAAGCCTTCTTTCTTTGCGTGAACATTTGGGCGGTGTTATGCAAATCTTCCCCTACAGTGACGTAGACATGTGGGGGAGTGTTTAAACAAGGCGTTTTAGGAGGGCGTGGACAAGTCTTAACTTTTATAAAGAATATCTCTTTTTGACTTTGAGACTTTAGTCTTTGCAACTTTAGGGATCTTATCTATGCACGAACAGCTTGTAACACTCCAAAGAGAAAGGAAAATTTGAAATTGCATCATATGACCCCTATAATTAAGCTCTTTGAAGAGATACTATCACTTTAAATGATTTAGGATTTTATTCACATATATACAAAGTTCTGTAATGAAACTCTATATGGCACAGGCCGATAGGTTCTAACCCAATCTGATATAATCACATCATTATTCACATGGCACAGCTGATTGGTTACTTTTCATATCAGCAGCCATTGAGCTTGCTGCTCAACTCTCAAATACTTGGCTAGTGCTTG